CCCAGGTTCTGAGGGAATGCATCAAAAGTGGCCCTGAACCTCTGAAGCATAGTCACCTCGGATTTGCTTTGGGGAAGCAAATGTACCTGAATTGGAGGCATGGTGTCATGGCAGAGGAGGGCTGTCATCACAGTCACCACTGTCTCTTAGGAAAGTATCTGGAGAGGAGGCTGGTAAGCAAAGGCAACCCCTTCCAGCCTCCCTAGGAGCAACTCTCCAGGAGCCATCTACAGACTCACCCTCATAGATGCCTAGGGCCCAAGGTGATACACAGGGGAATATGTCTCCTCTTCAGGTGAGGAAAGAGACAGCTGGGGTAGAGGTTAGCTGGAGCTAACAGAGTTCCACAGCCCAGGAAGCTCTTGGCCCTTGTCTTCTGCAAGCTGCCATGTCTATAGGACTTTCAAATAGACAAATCAGTCTTTTCATGTCTCCTCTTTTGGCACTGGAGGTGTTGAAATGGTGGTTTCTCTCTAATCAGATAAAACCACACAAAGTAGCATCAAGAGGGCCTGGAGATGGGGAAAAGGCTGTGCTTTGCCTACTGGAACACACACACTTCTAACATGGATTTTAACAGAATGCTATCACGTGGTCACGTGGTCAAATGCCTGGAGGAGACAAGGTGAGGAATTGCTTCTCACCTCTGACCCCAATGCAATCTATGTGTCACAGGCCACTGGAGGCTATCCGAAGGTCATCCTTCTTATACTGTAGTATCTGTGCCTGACTCTAGACTCCAGCCCCACTCCTTGGGCTTCCGTAACCTTTAATCTTTTTCCAGGGGAAAAACAGTACTACCTAGACCTTTCATCTGGAGGCTGACACATCTTTATTCTCTAAACCTAAAACTCCTCTTGCTATAAATGATGAAAGGTCAAGTAAGGTCTAGAGATAGGACTGTAGCAAAAATAACCTATGGAGGCCACCAGGATGTACACCACTAGTTCTAGAAACAAAAGTAAGCAGTTTGCCCAGACTCCCTCTCAGATAAGCATAAAAGAGGCAGCTTGGCTATGTGCTAGGCACTGGACTCCGCAAAATCCTAGGCCTGGTCGCGTTGTATGCTCCTTCTCCTTTTAAGGCAAGGTCTGAGCTCCCAGGGCTGTGCTTGCTGCAACATGCCCCAACCCCATTCATTCCTGGCTATTTGGAGGAAACCGATGATTAATCAGTGCTTCCCCACCCCCACCCAGTCTGTTTTTCATTTGGTCCTTTTTAAAGGGTTGGCACACCTCAAGAACAGCCACTTGGCAGCTCTGAGCCAACCAGGACCCCAGCGCAGGGGAAGTAACGGGAGGAGTGGCTACTGGTCCTTGAGGAGGACAAAGAGGGAGAGGTCAGGATGTGGGGTCCGGGCAAAGAAAGGGTTAAAATGTGGAAATCAAGTCCTGACTGAGGGGTGCCTGGGTCTGCAAAGGCTGGGCAAGGGAGGGAGGGAGGGGGGAAAGATGCTAGTGAGGACTTTAGAACTGTGTGGACTTTAGTGAGGACTGTAGAAAGTGAGTAACTCAGACAAAGGCAAGAGCAAGACAGAGCAGCCTTGGTGCCAAATGGAAAGCGTCAGACATGGTTACATGGACTTGATAGTTGCTGGTGAGACATTCAGGTCTGAGCCTGTTTCTTCTAAGCCTGCTGAATGCTGTTGGTTGTCATCTCTGGATCTCAGCTTCCCTTTAAGCCAAGCTGGTGAGCTGAGAAGTTTAGGCACTCTGCAGAGGTGGCTGGGCACATTTGGAGAAGCAAGGGAGAAGAGAGGGCAGGAGACTCTGGCCGAAGCCAGACCTCCAGAGTTGAGCTGAAGAGGCTATTCCGTTCAGGTCTCTCTCCATCATGTTGCCACAGTTGGAGGGATCTTAGCAGAAGGTACATGTAGACCTGATAGGATGGGAGGGCAGAGGGATTCCCAGGCTAACCTGAACAGGTCTTTATAAAAGTGTCCTAAAAGAGCTGGGCATGGTGGCATGCCTTTAGTCCCAGCAGAGGCAGGCAGATCTCTGTGAGTTGGAGGCCAGCCTGGTCTCCATAGTGAATCCAGGCCACCTGTGGCTACATGGAGACCCTGTCTCAAAAAGACAAAAAAAAAAAAAAAAAAAAAAAAAGTGCCCTCCAAGGAAAGTCATTGGTTTTCCTCATTTACATTATATTTGTATAGTCCTTTACATAGAGCAAAGTCACCTTCACTGCTGCCCCAGGGTGATCTGAAGGGCCAAACTCAGCTCCCTGCAAGCCAGAGTGAGAGTAAGGGGAATCTCTGCCTCTGCTTCATCACATGGTTCCAGGAACACCTAGTGCAGCTGGACCCTATGGGCTCAAGCCTGGAAGGGGTAGGCCCTGTCCTCCAGGCCTTGAGCCCCTGGCTATTGTGATTCTAGCAGAGAAGTCAAAGCCTTCTGCTAGGTAAACCCAGGGCTGGTCTCCAGTGGCATGTTTGTAATGCAGGTACAGAGTTTCCATACTACCAACCTCACTTTATCCCCTCTGGGAAGTGTGGGGGGTGAGGAGAGGCTGCATGGGCAGAGGGTGCCATGGAGTTCTGCTATTCCAAACCCTGCCTTCTCCTCTTCCCACATCCCATGGGGTACTCTTGAAAGACAGAGGCCCTTTCTGGTATCTTCCTGTTAAAAATAAAAGCTTTAGGAAATCTTGTAGCATCTCTTTATTTATTTTTGTCTTTTTTTTTTTTTTTTGAAACAGGATCTCCCGGTAGCTCCAGCTGTCCTGGAACTCACTGTGTAGACCAGGCTGGCCTTGAACTTACAGAGATCCGCCTGCTGCCTCCTCCCAAGTGCTGGGATTAAAGGTGTGCACCACCACCCCCGGCTCATAGCATCTCTTGATAACTCAGTTGCTCTCTACCAAAAGTGGGCAGTCAAACATCCTAGCTCATCTTAGGCAGTCTGTTGCTTCCCTTGCACTGGTGGGGATGAGAAAGCAAGTACTGTCAAAATAGGCTCAGACTCCAGGCCACTTTGTGGAGGAAGAAACAGGACTCTGTGGAGGTGCTGGTGGCCTGTGCTGCCTATAACACTCAAGCCTCTATTGCTCTCAGCTGGTTCCATCCCAGGGTCTCTCCAAGCTACATCCCTTCAGTGCCTGTGATCAAAGTGGAATCACAGAACCCTAGACCCCAACTATGGCAGACTGCCCCCAAAGCTGGCTGACCCAGGAGATTCCAGGGCCCCCCAAAGAGAGGGGCTTGTCTCTAGCAAAGTTCTTACAAAACAATAAAACATCACTATGAACTGTTAAGATGCATGTTTAATGTAATGTATAACCTTCATTTTTAAACTATTTTATTATTTTTATTTTATGTATATGAGTGTATTGCTTGCATGTAGGTAGGTGCACCTGTGTCATGCAGTGCTGGCACAGGTCAGAAGACAGCACTGGATCCCCTGAAACTGGATTTATAGATGGTTTTTAGCCACCATGTGGGCTGGGAACTGAACCCAAGTCCTCTGTAAGAGTAGACAGACAGTGCTCTTAATCACTGAGCAATCTCTCCAACCCCGTACAACCTTTATTGTGTGTACGTAATTCTTTATTATTAGTTCTTTCTCATTTCAATAATACATAAATATATATTTCAATGGTAGAATTCAGAAATATCCTTAATTAGTAAAATAAAACGTTAGAAATCCTACCTTGAAAGCTGGGCATGGTGGCACATGCCTTTAGTCCCAGCACATACAGGGAGACCCTGTCTCAAGAAAAACCAAAAAAAAAAAAAAAAAAAAAAAAATCCTACCTTGATCATTCCAACTTTTTTTGCACATGCTAGATAAGTGATAGAGTATTTATCTAGCATGTGCAAGACCCTATATTTGATCCCAGCAACACAAACACACACACACACACACACCACCACCACCACTGATATTTTGATGTACTTTTAAATTTTTTATTATGTGTATGAAGTGTGTGTGACCGTGGGCATGGGCATACCATGGTTGACCACATGATGGTCAGAGAACAATTTTAGAGAGTCGATTTTCTCTTTCTACTGTGGGATCTGAAGAATAAATTCAGGTCATCAGACTTGAAAAGCAAGGCCCTTTACCTACTGAGCTATCTCACTGGTCCCCATATATTTTATTTTATGTGTATGACTGTTTTGCCTGCATCTATGTAAATATACCCATGTCATGCAATATCCATGGAAGCCAGAAGAGCACATCAGATTCCCTGGAAGTAGAGTAGTTATGGACAGTTGTTAGGCACCATGTGGGTGCTGGGAACAGAACCCTGGTCCTCTGCAAGAGCAGTCAGTGCTCTTAACTGCTGAGCCCCAATGCATATTTTTATTTTATTTATTTATTTATTTATTTGTCTTTTTGAGACAGTCTCCCTATAGCCCCAGCTGGCCTGGAACTCATCATGTAGACCAGGCTGGCCTTGAACTCACAGAGATCAGCCCGCCTCCCCGAGTGCTGGGATTAAAGGTGCCCAATGTATTTTGTTTTGTTTTTCAGAAACAGGGTCTCCCTGTAGCCCCAGATGTCCTGAAACTCACTATGTATACCAGGCTGGCCTCAAACTCACAGAGATCCACCTGCCTCTGCCTCCTGAGTGCTGGAATTAAAGGCGTGTACCACCATGCCTGGCTCCAATGTATATTTTTAAAAAATCAAAAAATCTAGAGTGAACATTTAACATTGTAAACAAAGACAGCACTAGCATTTTGTCTTTTGCCTCAGGTTCCACATGGTGTAGCAGGCACTAAATCTTTCACCCATGACAGAAAAGGTCTGCAAGTGCTCTGGGGAGGAGCTGCGTTCTCTGCAGGTGTTCATTTGGCCATGAACCTGAGGCCTGAGTCTGATGTCAGTCCACTCTGCAGTTGAACTCAACAGAGACAAGCTGCCACTCTTCCCCAAGGCAAATGTCCTTTGGAGGCTCAAGAGCACTTACATAAGCCCTCCCTGGCTTGCCCCATGCTGATTTCCCTCCCTCTACCGCCAGCTCCCCATGTTTATTTATCTTTTCTGAATTCCTAGGAAAGCAATCAAGTGGGGAGCAAGACAGATGCCAAGAATGGAGAGGAAAGGGGCAGTGATGCCAGCAGAAAGGCCCTGGGTCCTAGACAGGGCTCAGACCTGGGCAAGGAGCCGAAGAAAGGAGTTTTAAAGAAAAGCTTCTCCAGAGACCGTGAGGAGGCTGACAGCAGAGGGGGTGAGAAGCCCAAGGAGGAAAAAGTCATAAGGGGCATTGACAAGGGCCGGGTCAGGGCTGCGGTGGACAAGAAGGAGTCTGGGAAGGATGGCAGAGGAGAGGATCGGACAGTAGCCACAAGAAAGGAAGAGGAGAAGAAAGGGAGTGACAGGAGCACAGGCTTAAGCAGGGACAAGGACAAGAAGAAAGAGGAGGTGAAGGAGGCCACTAAGAAAGAGAGGGAGGAGAAGGTAGCAGTGGAAAGCAGGAACACAGACTCCCAAAGAGAGGAGGACAAGAGGCTGAAAAGGTCAAGCGGGCACACAGACAAGAAACAGGAGGATGAGGGTGTACAAAGAGGAAGTGCGGACAGATGCACCGGAAAGGAGGACAAAGTTAAGAAGGAAGAGAACCAAAATGACAAGGAGGTCAAGGAAGATGGCAAGACCAAAGCAGCTGAAAAGCAGGCCCCTGGGGGCCCCAGTAAGCCCTCTGAAGGGCCAGCCAGGGTGGAGGAGGAAGCAGCTCCCAGCATATTTGACGAACCTCTGGAGAGAGTGAAGAACAATGACCCAGAGATGACCGAGGTGAATGTCAACAACTCAGACTGCATCACCAATGAGATCCTGGTCCGGTTCACTGAGGCCCTGGAGTTCAACACTGTGGTCAAGGTATTTGCCTTGGCCAACACTCGAGCTGATGACCATGTGGCCTTTGCCATTGCCATCATGCTTAAGGCCAACAAGACCATCACCAGCCTCAACCTAGACTCCAATCACATCACTGGCAAAGGTATCCTGGCCATCTTCCGGGCCCTTCTCCAGAACAACACGTTGACTGAGCTACGGTTCCACAACCAGAGGCACATCTGTGGGGGCAAAACCGAGATGGAGATCGCCAAACTGCTTAAGGAGAATACTACCCTGCTCAAGCTGGGCTACCACTTTGAGCTGGCCGGGCCCCGGATGACTGTCACCAACCTGCTTAGCCGCAACATGGACAAACAGCGACAGAAGCGGCTGCAGGAGCAAAGGCAGGCCCAGGAAGCCAGTGGAGAGAAGAAAGACCGGCTGGAAGTGCCCAAGGTTGGGGCTCTGGCCAAGGGCTCCCCTAAACCTTCACCTCGGCCATCTCCAAAGCCTACTCCAAAGAACTCACCCAAGAAAGGGGGTGCTCCAGCAGCCCCACCGCCTCCTCCCCCTCCCTTGGCTCCACCTCTTATCATGGAGAACCTAAAGAACTCACTCTCACCAGCCACCCAGAGGAAGATGGGAGACAAAGTCCTCCCTGCCCAGGAGAAGAACTCACGTGACCAGCTCTTGGCTGCCATCCGTTCCAGCAACCTCAAGCAGCTAAAGAAGGTAAATGAAGTGGGCACAGTCCATAGGGCTGGGGTAGCTCTAGGCTTGCATGAGAGGACAGGGCTGCAGAGGGAACACACACTGAGACGCTCATGTCAGGCTGCAGGGCCTCAGATTCCTGGGCCCTTTGGGTCCTGTCAGTCATGGTGTCTCCAGCAGGCCACCTGCATCTCTCTTAGAGGCAAGGCCCCATGCATCCTTTAAGGAGCTTCCTTTAGCCTCCTCAGTCCTGCCTCCTCTGCCTGCAGTCAAAACTGCTTCCTCTTGGAGTGAAGAGATGGCCTCTACATGCAAGGCTGCTGAGGGCCCTATCTGCAGGTCTCCTTTACTCCATTCATCAAACAAAAATGATTCAGGTTCTAGTCAGTGTTATTCTCAGGATGAGCCCAGGCCCACAGGGCAGTCTATCCCAAAGGTTCACCCCTTCGGAGAGTCCACTTTTAATTACCAGTGCCATAGACACAGGACCATGTGTGGACATTCTCCTTCTCCCAGCCTTGCTTCCCGGGAAGTCCTACCTGAGTGACAGGGATGTCCAGGGCCATTTGCCTTCCTGACTGGATACCCTAACCCTAAAACATCATTTGTGCCTAGGCACCCAGAGATAGAGGCCAACGTCAGTTGTAATTCAGTGGCTGTTTGCTCACATTCTCCTCTGCTTTCTTCTGGTCTTTTTTGAGACAGGATCTCCCTATAGCCCTCACTGACTTGGAATGCACTATATAGACCAGATTGGCCTTGAACTCAGAGATCTGCCTGCTTCTGCCTTCTAAGTGCTAGGATTAAAGGCATGTGCCACCATGCCCAGCACTGACATTCTGCTTTTACAGAGAGAAAAAATGTTCCCCTGGTATCAACACCTTCATACATTGATCGCCCCCCACCCCCGAACACACACACTCTGAGGTGTCTGGGGTCGCATCCTCTGCAAGGGAGAAAAGAAGTCCCTGACTAACGCATCTCTGCTTTTCTTTGCCTTACAGGTAGAGGTGCCCAAGCTGCTTCAATAGGACCTGGCTGCCAGGCACTGGTGCCAATGCCATGACTGCCCAGGCTCCTGTACCAGGGCTACACAGACCCCACCCACCCCACCCTGACTGACCTGCTGCAGCTGTCCCTATTCCGCCGTGGGAGAGCTCAAGGCCTGGGCCACACTCAAGGGAGGACACCTCATCTCTTCTCACTTTCCTTTTCTTGTCTCTGAGGCTCTCCAAAAAATTGCTTTGACACTTGGAGCTTAGTTTTCTGGACAAGAAGAGTTCTTTAAGCACGTCACAGAGAAGATGGCACTGCTCAAGGCCCAAGTAGCAGACACACCACCAAAAACCCATGATGCAGAAAAGATGTCCCCAGGGACCACATACCCACCCCAGCCTCACTGCCTCCAGGGCCAGGATTCAGGCCTCTGAGGAGCCCTTGAGGCAAATCTGCTGGACTGGTGGCACTCTGTGGGGCAACGGCAGAAGGATGGAGGGCATGGGGGTTCAAAGGGAGAGCAGGAGGACGAGGATGTCACAGACCCCTCCATCTGCTATTCCTGAGCAGCAGGCCTGGATGGACAATGCCTGATGGAGAGTTGGCTCCAGATGGGAGGAGAGGGTCAGACAGCAGCTGGACCTGAAGGGTTGATGCCAAAGCAGACGTTTTCGTCACACCAACTGCTGTTGTATAAATAGCTATGTGTCTCCATAAGATTTTGATAATATATACAAACCTTTAACTTCGAGTGCTGTGCCTTACCTTTGTCATATGCTGAGAGTCATAATACTCACCCTGGGCTCACTGGAGGGCCCCCAAAACTCAAGGTGACCGTGGAAATAAACTCTGGGGTCTCTTCACCCCTGCAGAAAAGGCAACATTGGGGAAAGCTGGAACTCCTGTTGAGACAGCCTCCTAACCTGGTGTTTCAGGTCTGTTCCTGAGCCAGTCCTGCTGCCTAGAGCTGTTCTCAGGGGTGACAGGGCAGAGAGGCACACAGAGCCCTGGGATGGCTATATTAGGCATGCTCGGGGATGCTCACTCTGTGACTCTTCCCACTGTAGGCTCAGGGCCAGCTCTTCACAGCAGTTATAACTATAGGCCAAGGAAGGCACAGGCAGAAAAGCAGAGTGACCAAGTGGGGGAGAATGGTACCCGCCCCAGTGTGACTTCAGGCCAGGGGTCCTATCCATCCCCAGTGTGCCCCTACTGGAGGTCATCCTCCTGACCAGACAGGGCTACCACATCCACCACTGGGTATACATGGAAAGCATCTTTTGTGCTAGCGGTGCAGCGCGGTGTTGGATCACATGCCTAGCTTGTGGGGGCCTTGGGTTCCATCCCCCACACTGCCCCCACAACAAAAGTCTCTTTCTGACTTTTTGGCTTGAAGATAACTTCCACCCTTTAGCATTGTCAAATTGGGTCACTAACAGGTTTTCCTGCCTCCAATTTTTGCCTAAGTAGCACAGAGCAAAGCAATTGGAATATGGGTAGAGTCCCCCATCCCTAAAGAAGCAGGGTGAATGTGCTAGGTCTGGCCCAAATTGGAGGAGAACAAAGAACTCAGATCCCAGGGTACTCTGACCCCTCTACCCATCTGCTGCCACCTCGTAGGCCCAGGGTAGAGGGAAGACAAAATTGCCCAGTATCCTAGTTTGTTTCTTCATTGCTGTGACAAAATACTCTGACCAATACCAAGTTGGGAAGGAAAGGGTTTATTTGCTTACATCTCCCTGGTCACAGTTCATCAGGGAGCCCAAGGTAGGAACTCAGGGCAGGAACCTGGAGGCAGGAGCTGAAGCACAGACCATGGAAGAACGCTGCTTACTGGCTTGCTCCCCTGGCCCCTGATCAGCCTGCTTTACTTATGCAACACGAGCCCACCTGCCCAGGGGTGGCACCACCCACAGTGGGCTGGGCCCTCTCACATCACTCAACAATCAAGAAGATGCCCCACAGACATGGCCACAGGCCAGTCCAATGGAAGCAATTCCCCAATAGAGGCTCCCTCAACCCAGGTGTATCAAGTTGACAGTAAAGCTATCCAGCACACCCAGCTTCCATCTCTGGAAGGGTGTGAGCTGGAGTCAAGCCCTTAAGCCTGCTGTCAGCTAAGTGTCAGGCACTAGCTAGATGCTTAAGGTTGCTTCAGCTGATCCTCCAACTCTATGATGTGGATGCCAATAGCCTCACCATTTGCAGATAGAGTCTGGACCAAATACATTAAGCAACTGCACATGGAACACAGCTAATAAAAGGCAGAGCTGAGGTCTTCGCCCCTCCAGCAGCTTCTGATGCTTCTGATTGCAGAGCCTTCCTCTCCACCACTGAAATGGACTGATGATAGTGGTCATGATGGCACTGGACGCCTGACAGAAACAGCTAACCTAGCTCAGATCTTTTTTTAAATTTTCCCACTATGTAGCCCTGGCTGACCTCAAACTCTCAGAGATTCTCCTGCCTTAGCTTCCGGAGTGCTGGGATTAGAGGAGCATTCCTGCTCTACCCATCTCCAATCTTAAGTCTCTCTTAGAGCCCATCACCTTAGGACCTTTTCTTAACTTGAAACTCATCTGGCCAGAGGAAAAATCGGCTCTCTACCTCCGCCTACTGTAGCGCTCCCGTCTGGGATGACGTAATTATTTCTACGGAGCGCAGCGCCACCTGGGGACAGACTGTGTCCCAGGCTTTCAGAGCCCCCGAAAGCTAAACTGGGGACCCGAGCAGGGGACTAGAGGAAGAACCGCCAGGGGGAAGCAGACACCGGCCTCACCCTACATGGTGGTCCCAGTGGAGCGCGTTAGGTACTGGGCGGACGAGTGCGCTCCCCAACCTGCAGTCAATGGCCTGGAGGGTTTTCGCTTCCCTGGGGGCTAGAACTATTAATAGAAAGGCTCTATCCCATCTACCGTCTGCGTTTTACAGGGAAAAATAGGAGGTTCAAAGAAAGCAAATGACTCATCCAAGTTGATGAATCCCGACTCAAATCCAGGTCCCCTGACAGCAGGTCCAGCCTACAGACGCGGGAGAAGCGATCTCCGCAGCCTCCACCTGCAGCCTCCTCCGCACCGAGGCACCCACGACAGCTCCCGGGGTTCCAATGTGTCTCCTCTCTGCCCACTCTCCCTTCACTCAACCTTCCTGGTTCAGGAGACGCCAGAGCTAAGACAAGGGTCCTGCACTAGCCATAGATGGGTACTGAAGGTAGTCGGGACTCTCATCTAACTTGCTGTCACAGGAGCTCAACATGTAATGAGATATGGTGATCTAGGGCCTCCAGGAACCCAGATGTGGTGTCATACACCTTTAATTCCAGCACTAGGAGGCAGAGGCAGGAGGATCTTTATAAGGCCAGCCTGGTCTATACAGTGAGTTGCAGGCCAGCCAGCCAGCTACATAGTGAGAGCCTGTCTCAAAAAACCTGAGGGGTGGGGGTGAATAAGGAAAGAAAGTTAAGATCTGGCAGGGTCACTCACCCAGGAGCATGCTTTTCTGGAATACCGATGTCCTTCTGAAGTTAGTCTGGAAGACAGGCACCAGATGCAGCATCCATCAGAGGCCCACCTTGCCTGCAGTCCTCTTCTTTTCTGGAACTCCCTCCTCCCAGGTCTCCAGACCCTCCTCCTTCCCACTAGGTTTGTGTGTGCTTGCATGTTTCAGCTGAGATCAAGCCTGAGGCTTCACATGTAGGCCATGTTTTGTATAAAAACACCCTCTTCCCCAACTAGACCTAGACCAGCCCCTTAGGCTGCTCAGTGTTTCCTCCCAATCTAGCAAGACCCTATTTACATCATGAGGGTTCTCTAGTTCTTGGGGGCCACTGTCCCTCCACTAGCTCTCCTAATCTTTCTAAAGTACCTGCCCTATTTTCAGGGGTGCTAGGTGATGGAAAGGGGCAGATGCAGCTCCAGGCTCCCCCAGATCTTCCTGGACTCTCCTTATTACCCTAAGAGTGATATGCTCTTCTGAAAATCAGAGTGCTCGGGGAGATGGAGTGTTATCCTCATTTAAAGAACTCCAAGATGTGACAGGGCTCTGGTAGAGTATGCAGGGTCCCTGCTCCCCAAAGTTTCTCCTTTTTTTTTAGACTTATTTCCAATGCTTTGCAGAGTTAACTGGAGACTGAGCCTTTCCATCAGTAGCTCTGGCTGGTGTAAGCCTGTCACCCTCCTTAGACCACAAAACAACTTGTCACTGGTCTCAGGTTATTGACTCAAGGCTAATGAATTCTGACAAGGCCCTAAATACATTTCCATCACTCCCCAGCCCCCTCCAAAATTCAGAAACCTTATCCAGTACTTCTCCTACCCTGCTTTGGGCCAGAGGCGGTCTTTTGAAAGATGAAGACAGAAACTGTGTGGCACCAGCTCCACCTCTTGCCCCAACCCTTAAGGAGAAAGTGAATTTGCACCTGTGGCCCTAGGGCTATCCTCAGCAGCATCAGCAGTCCCTGACAAGGTCAGGTTCTGGGGCAGTCACATGCAGCTTGATTTCACTGGGAAGGGGGAAGCTATGAATTCATAAGGGGCAGGCCTCTCCCCAAGGGAATCAGTGACCCTGGCCCCAAAGCTCCAGCCTTCTGGACAATGTGATAAGAGGTAATCCCTCTGGATATGTGGCTGCAAAGGACCCTGGGGGCATGGTGAGCACAACGGTCCTAAGTAGAACCTAGCTAGGCTACTGGAAGCCTGAGGCTACACTAGGTTAAACTTTCTGAAGGTGGTTGGGAAAAAGGGAAGGAGCTGGACAGATGGATCAGTGGTTGAGAGAACTGGCTGCTCTAGTAGAGGACCTGGTTCGATTCCCAGCACCCAAATGGTAGCTAACAATCATCTGTAACTCCAGTTCTAGGGGATCCAATGCCCTCCTTTGATTTCCAAGGCATTGCAGGACACAGGTGCACTCACAAACATACAGGCAATACACTCATACATATAAAACTTTTTTAAAAATCTAAAAAAAAAAAAAAACAAGGCCTGAATTTAAGGAACCCGGAGAAGGCACCTAGAGAAAATGGGGGACATTGGGTGAGCTGACACTTTCCCCATTCAAAACTATAAAACTAGGCTGGGCATATAGTCTAGTGGCACTTAACTACCATGCATGAGGTCCTGGGTCCGGGTCCCATTCCCCGCCCCCGCCCCAACTACAAAACTCCCTTTCCTGGATCTGCCAGAGCCCGTCATGCCTTGTGATTCCAGGGAGTGGAGCAAGGGAAGTGGGTCTGATAGCTCCAGGCACCCACTGCCACTCCCAGGTCACCTTTTTAGGCAGCCTTCAGGCCCCTCCATACCTGGAGGGTCCTGGTATGGGCCTGAAGGACCAGCTGCCTTAGTGTCCCATGAGGATCAAGCAGCTCATAGAAGCACCTTACACTAGTCTCCTTGAATAGTGACATCTCTCCACTTGGTATTTAGCCCTGAGCCTCTGATCAAGAAGAAACTCAGGGTTTTACTTCCATTATACTTTATCCTCCTGATAGTTATGTGCTATTATTCCCATTCTATAGATGAGGACACTGGGGTTTGGATACATTCAAAAGCATGCTCAAGGTCAGACAGTAGTGAAACCCAAATTTGAATCTAAGTACCTGGATGGGGAGGTGCCTTTGTTCTTTGTTTAGCTGATAGTGCCACAGATGTCCCAGAGGCCTGACCCTGAAATGCAGGTGAGTACTCTTTTCTAGCTGCCACAAGTCTACCTCACTTGCTCTGGAAACCAATCAAAAGATCCTCAGGGCTTCTGCCTGGGACAGGGATGAGGTGCTGCCCTCTGCTGTTGGGAAATGTGGAGCAGGCAGCAGTCTGGGCTCAGTGGGAGACAGGGTTCTGAGAAGGTGTGTATAGGCCCAATGATTCCACTGACATAAGATACATCATTACAGCTTTAATTCGGCAGGCCAGAGCTCTGGCCAGTGGGGCAGCCAGAGGGGAGGGCTGTGGCCAGCTGTTGATGGAGCCCCCCCACTGTCCCAACCTCAACACAAAGTGGGCAAATGGGAGGGGCCCCACATTTCTGGTAGGGATTCTGGGAGCAGAATGACTACTTGAAAGCAGAGGCTGTGACCCAGGCTCTCATCTTATCCTCTGCTCCCCAGTAAAAACAGCCCATGAATCCCAAGCCCTCCCTATCCACCCTTCAGTCATGACCTGGTTCCAACTAAGCTCCCATTCCACATCTCTGGGGCTCTGTCCCCAGCAGGGCCCAGGGCTCAGCTTGGTCTGGGGCCTGGTGACTAGAAGACCTCTGCCCACCCCCAGGTTGCAGGTACAGGATGGGGCATCTCCCAAAGATGGCATCATGGAAGGGGCAGCAGAGCCACACTGGTTTCTTCAGGCTCCTGGGTAAGAGGGCTGTGGTGGCATATAGGGGGGAGGAGCTGAAAGCCAAGGAAACAGGATGAAGGTCAGTAGGGCACAGGAGGACAGGAAGTACTCCTCCCCCTTCAGGATCCATGAGAAGAGCTGGCCTGGAAGTTTTCAGAGAGGATGGAGAGAGTCTGGGAAAGGCAATCTACAGCAGTGAGAGAGGCAAGGGAAGCCCTGCAGCTAGGGGTCGGGGCAAGCAGGAACAAGGGCTCCAGGTTGCCTACTTACCTGCAGGATTGTAGATTGGGGGTCCAGCTGGGTAGAGAGGATACTGGGGAGCAGGACCACTAGGTGGGTACATGAAGCCAGGCTGTGGGGGTGCAGGGCCAGCTTTAGGGTCCGGGGGGTATGGGTATACTGGCTGCATTGGGATACCTGTCATTGGAATCTCCTGGCCTAGATGAGGGAGAAGGATCATCATTCAGAAACCAAGTACCCATTCAAAACCTCCTCCTCCTCCTACCCAGGAAACCAAGGTAAGCACCCTGGTAACTGCCTGGCAGGTTCCTGGCTGGCTACCGGCCTTTGGTTCCCAAAGCCTGTTTGCCCAAAGCTGAGCAAGGAGTTTACATAGGAGGCTCAGCTGGTCAGTCTGTGCTGACCAAGTTTGTTTCCCTCAGCAGGTCTCAGAGACCTCAGGAAGCAAGAGGCCAGCCAGGAGAATGCCCCACTTAAACAAAGAGTGGCAGCTCCAGGGGCTGGCATCTTGTAACTCAGCACAGCTACCACTAAGAGGGTCCTCCTCCAGTCCTTCTCTCCCACACTGATATTTCACATGGAGTCATCTCCATGCTCATCAGGTTTGGGAAAATGTGCAGTCACATGCATGCAACACTCGACTACACATCCCAGTGTATACTGGGGTACACCCAATTAATGTTTACCCTATACTTAGCCACAGGCATGCTTATACCTATTATACACACACTGCTGACAGATGCACTCCTGTGCACAGGTGAATGCTCACATGCATGCACAATGCACAGTCCTATGTTCCCATGTACCCCTGGACACTGTCTGATATTCATGGACTCACAAGCATGTCTGGGTGCATTCTAGTGCCCATCATAGGACTCAGCCCAGCCCATCTCGGTCCATCTCCCCTGACACTATGCGTACCTTCAAATGGGCTCTGGAGCTGCTGGCGCCTTCGGTACAGGTAGCAACAGGAACAGAGGAAGCAGCAGATGGTGGTGGCAACCACAGCAACAAAGAGGATTACAGCAGAGGCGATGCCTGCTATGGTCTTGGGACTTTAGACAAAGAACAAGTCCTCTCACCGTCCATCACTCATAGAGGGAATCTTCACTGTGCTGGTTCCAACTCCTGGCTGGCAGGTAGCTGCAGCATGCTAAGATTTGGGGTTCCTTGTGGAATTCTTCCCATTCCCTGTCTAGTGGATCTTAGGGACCTCTACTTCCCAGAAGGCTATGCTATCTGGCTAGCTAGTATTAAGCATGCTGGGATTTGTAGTGTGCCCATCTACCTCTGCTTTTATATCTATATCTTAATTGGTTAGACTTACAATATGTTAGCCGTAGAAGAGCCCTAGAAATAATTCAGGACCATTATTTTCAAAGCTTACTTGACAATCTCCTTACATCTGTTTTATATGTTTACAGCTCCTTTAAAAAAAAGTTTGAAACTACTAATCTGGGGTCCTAAGTTTGATCCTCAGCACTCAGTGGAAGTGGGGGAATTAACAAAACCTTCAATTTGGGCAACTACTACTTCTTTTTCCAATAGTTATTTCAACCAGGAATTAGGCAGTTCCTCCAATAGAAAAGAAATTATATTGGAACCGAACACTATAAAATTTAAAACTATTTATTTGCATTTTTAAAGTTAGCACACAAAGTAACAGGTTTCCTTGTGGCCTGTTGTTGTTGTTGTTGTTGTTGTTGTTGTTTTGAGAGAGGGTCTCCCTGTAGCCCCAGCTGTCCTGGAACTCACTATGTAGACCAGGCTGGCCTTGAACTCACAGAGATCTGCCTGCCTCTGCCTCCCAAGTGTTGGGACCACAGGAGTGTGCCACCATGCCCAGCAGCAAGTTCTTTTTTGAGTTTCATTCTAGCTTCAGTTGGCCTGGAACTCAGAGTTTCAGAGTGCTGGGATTAAACGCATGTACCACCAGCCTGGCTTTGTTTTTTTGAGGTAGAGTTTCACTCTGTAGCTCAGGCAGGCCTGGAACTCATGATGCGCTTCCTGCCTCAGCATTGGGAAGGCTGGGGTTAGAGGTATGAGCCACTAGACCTGGCTAGAACGGTCCTTATTTCATGAAAAGGAAACAATCCATAGAGGGCAAGTATCTTTCCCAGATCACACTACTAGTTAAGAGGGCTGTGAATGAAACTCAAGTCTCCAGCCTCTTGCCAGAGCTTCTTCCACAAATACAGTCTGCAGTCTGAATGTTAACCCTGTACACTCCCTCCATAGGACCTGTCAGAACCCAAAAAGCACCTGGAAACAGCCCAGCCAAGCCCATGATGGTAACCAACACCGACCACCTAGCTCTGTCACCGTCTGGAGTCCTGGTGACTCTCCTCAGTGAAAATGTGGAGGTGGGCAATGAAGGCAGGCAGGCCTCTAGAGGGGGGATGGAGAAGGGTCTGTGAACGGGAGCAGGAGCCCACCTGAAGGCCAGGCAGTGCTTCTGCTGCCTCTCGGTGATGAGCAAGGTCAGGTCCCTGCAGCAGTACCGCTGGTAGCAGGTCCCACAGCAGAAGGTGAAGAACTCGCAGTCAAACCCCGGATGCCAGGAGCCATTCCGATCCAGATACCACAAGCAGTCTTCACCAGCTAGCACTGCTGGCAGGGGTGGGGGTGCCCAGTGGACACCAGTCCAGTTCAATTCCGGCCGCCCTCAACCCCACAGCCCTGCTGTCCTCAACCTGTGAGCTCCCGGAAGGTGAAGGCTCACTTTCGTCTCCACCCTGAGGGGCTCAGCTTCAAAGCCCCGAAGGCCTCTCCCCGAAGCTGGCCTGTGCGCCTGAGGTCAGCTTTCCACCACCTGACCTCCCTGCGCCCTTTCTTCCCTCTCCCCGTGGACCCCCGCAGCATCTGGGGCGCGCGGACAGCCCGAGGGTCTCCGGGGTCACCGCCGGGTCCCTTCCCTGCCCCATCCCAGCCAGCTCCACCCACCCTCCCCCGCCTCGCTTCGCATCCTTACCCAGGGGAGCCCCCAGCAGCAGCAGGGTTACAGCGGCTAGCGGCGCGGCCCCACGGAGCCCCGCCGGCTGCATGGCGGGAGGGGGCTGGGCGCGGCCAGGGCCGGCTGCCCGGAAAAGGGGCCGCAGGACGTAGCTGGACTAAGCCGGCCGACGGGAGCTGCAGCCTGGCCGGGTCTCTCCCGCCTCCTCCGCCAGGGACTAGGCGCTCCGCCTGCAGCAATCCAGCCAGCGCCGCTCCGCGCCCCGCCCAGGGGTCCGCCCACCAGCGACGCCCACCCAACCTCCGCGCACCAGCCCGGCTCCCCTCACCCAGCCGGGCACTATCCTGCCCACCCTGTCCCCGACACCGCGGTGACTCCTCCCGTCTGAGCCCTTATGGGCACAGCCAGCAGCTGGACACTGCGGTCAGGGAGGCCTGGCCGTGCCCTGAGCCCGCCCCTTGTTTGAGACCAGTCATTATCTCGGGTCCCAGAAACCCTGATCCTGGTGCCACCTCCGAATGTCCAGTTCATTAGCCAACCCTGCAGGGTCCAGGCCGAACCTTCGCTGTGTAGAACCTCCTCTGCCCCCGTGTTTCAGTCTGGGACGTCCTACAGGGGGAGGAGAGGGGAAAGAGGCTGGGAGTCACCCTGCCCCCATTCCTAGAAAACAGTCACCCATTGAGAGGCAGTTCAGAGCGGCTTTGTCCCCAGCGGTGCCCACAGGCTTGGGCCCTGGCAGCTGCACTTGGCCCTGAGATGGCCCCTTCCCCCTCTGAATGGACAGCTCTCCAACCACAGCCTCAGGGACAGAGGTGGCAGGTCATTCTTGCCACTTGAGGCCCATCGGATTAAACACCTGACAGCTGAAACCCTTTTATTCACTGAACAAACCTGCAGAAATGCTGCATTTTTAGCATGGAGATAGGACAGGCAACAGTTAATACAGGTGGAGAGAGTTTCAGGGCAGAGGAAGTCAACCAACTAACTTGCTTACAAACTCATGCAGAGCTGTTAATGGACTTGGGCGTCTTAGCCCCAATAAGCCATCCTCAATAAGCCAATTTAAAGAGTCAAATTAAGCGGGGAGTAGTGGCACACGCCTTTAGTCCCAGCACCCGGGAGGCAGAGGCAGGTGGATCTCTGTGAGTTCAAGGCCAGCCTGGTCTACATAGTGAGTTCCAGGACAGCTGGGGCTACAGGGAGACCCTGTCTCAAAAAGAGTCAAATTAATAGTGAAAAGCAGAAAAAGATTTATCATTGTGGCCACATTGGGAAGATGAATGAAACCCAGTGATACCACCCCCCAAGTCCATCGTTGGAGGTCCTGACATAAGGGTAATGTTTAAATATTTTATTTATTATTATTATTTTATGTGTAGTAGTGTATTGCCTGTGTGTAGGTAAGTGCACCCATGTCATGCAATGCCCACGGAGAACAGAAGAGGCTGTCGGATTCCCTGGAACTGGAGTTACAGACAGTTGTTAGCTGCCATGTGGGTACTAGGATTCGAACCTGGGTCTTCTGCAAGAACAGCCAGTGTTCTTAACCGCTGAGCCATCTCTCCAGCCCGAGTAATGTTTAAATAGAAGGCAAAAGATTTGCACAGCTAAGTCCAGTCAAGGTGTGGTCTTCCTGCCTACCATCTTTTCATCTCCTAGTTTCTCCTGCTGGGTCATCTGACAACTTCAGCTTTCTCCAGGAGAAAATTCCTCTGGATGCCCCCAAGGCATCAGCCAATTCATCTTCCAGCAGGGTATTCCTGGGGAAAAAAACTTCCTGGGGGGTTCATTCTTTCAATAGTCTAGAAGCCAAAGAGGGAGCACAAGTGTCTCTTTAGAATGTATCCACTCCTGCCAGGCAGGCTGGTTACAGTGTGCCATGATTATGCTGCATCCTACATGGGGCACCCTGACCAGGACTACAAATCAAGGGAGGCAGAATACTGAAGGCTACCTTAATCCCCTGCCATGTACACTTTACAAGGCACACACACACCCTGGACTTCTACCTCATGAGAATCTTTATACAACTGCATGAACTAAGCCAGGTTGACAAACATTATCAGCTCCATTTTACTACAATAGCTCAAATATGTTTAAGGTCTTGCTCAAGGCAATACAGCCAGTAAAGGGTAAAGGAAACAGTAAGACCTGTTTTCTAGATCAGGCAGATCTTTATTCCCAGCTACAGATAGTGTAGACAGCAAGTATTTCTGGTGGTCTGGGTGAGGGAACCAAGAGGGGTAGCCCCACACTATGCTCTTGTGAGTGTTGGCACACTCATTCAGGGAATAAGAAGAGGGCTCCACTCCAGGAAGTTGCTAGCACACTGATGGGCTGGCAAGAGTACATACTCACACTGGACAATCATCAATACAGCATCCAGGGACAACAAGACACATATCTCAGTTCATTGCTACCTACATCTGTCTGCCCAGTGCCATCTTTCCACTTCCTTTACCATTAGCTCCATGAATGCAAGGAGCACTGTCACCAGCTCTAGTAACAGGTACTCAGCACAGGACCATCCTTCTTGTCCAAGGCTGACTCCTGTGTGTGCTCTTGATCCCCTCACCTGTCCATATTATTCCCTCTCCTTGGTGGTTTTCAGTTTCTCCTTTAAAAATTTTTTGTAGGCTGGGTGTGGTGGCACACGCCTTTAGTCCCAACACTTGAGAGGCAGAGGCAGGCAGATCTTTGTGAATTCAAGGCCAGCCTGGTCTACATAGTGAGTTCAGGTCAGCTGGGACTACAGGGAGACCCTGTCTCAAAAAGACAAAAAAAATTTTTTTTGTTACATTTTATGTGTGTGGGGGTTAGAAGACAGCTTACAAGAGTAGGTTCTCTCCTTTCTCCATGTGGGTCCTAGGGCTCAAATGCAGGTGCCAGCCTTGGTAGCAAGCACCTTTATCCAATGAGCCATCTTACTAGCTCAGTTTTTCCCTTAACTTCTCTAGGAAAAAACCAAAACCAAAACCCAAACCCGCATGTGCCCCAAAACTTAGTCCTTTCTAGCTACTTTTCTGATTTTCTCCTTTTGTTCTCCAGTCTTCCAGTTCTTAATAATACTCCACTCTCATCAATACCATCAGTGGTTTTCTACTTGCAAAATTGTAGGAAAACTTTTCAGTCCCTGAGATGGGAAATGTTAAGGCCGGGACAGAGAGGTAGGAGGAAGATGTAGGGGCCAGAAGGGAGAACTGACTTTTATTTTTGAGACGGTTTCACCTATCTCGAATTCCTGATCCTCTTGCCTCAGTGTCCTGAATGCTGGTATTACTAATGGTATGCATAATGCTCACATCTCCTCACCCCCAAATGGTACTTTTTTTTAAAAGATAGGGTCTTGCTACGTGGCCCTAGCTGACCTGGAACTCATCATGTAGACCAGGCTGGTTTTGAACTCACAGAGATCCGGTTTGTCTCTGCCTCCCAAGTGCTGGAATTAAAGGTATCCATCACTATGCCCATTCTTATCAGGGAATGCTGGAGCATAGAAACAAAGAGTTGATGCCAGGCACTAGGAAGGTAGAGGCAGATCTCTATGAGATCAAGATCAGCTGGGGCTATAGCTCTGTCTCAAAAAAAGAGTTGGGGTGAGCATTGTCACCATAATGGACCTGAGTCCTGAGAGGCCAAGGAGCAAAGAGTGAGGAATGGGCATGAAGACTGGGGGCCTGGAAAGGGCTGTCCAAAGCCTAAACCCTGAGCCTTCACTTATCTTCTCTAGGTAAGAGAATGCAGGAATACCATCTCCTCATCAAGTCAGTCTCTGGGCTCCCCATCTGTGACTAGATGAGAAAAAATATGGGTTTAATCAGTAGGAGGCTCACCCCAGGAGCCTACAATATGATCAAGACAATACTAGCTATTGACCTTGCAAATGAGCTCATTCCACTGTGCAGATGAGGAAACTGAACTTGAAGAGCTTAAATTCTCCCAGCTTATACTACTGAGATTTGAAGCTAGCCTTTTGTGACTTCAAAGCCCAGGCCCTGGAGATCCATCACTTGCCCCTCCTTAAATGTGTAAATGTTCAGGGTTGTGCCTGGTGTAAAAATCATGTATTTGGGGAAACATGGATGTCCATCTCCATCCCTAGCAGCCATGTGCATGGGAGAGAAAGGTAGCCAGGATACCTGGAGCTGGGGAAGCAGGGAAGAAGTGCTAGACCATGCCTGTGACCCAGGTGAAACTTGGCCTGAACTGCGCTTTGAATATTCTGTCTCAGACTTCATCCTTTTTCTTTTCTTTTCCTTTTTTTTTTTTTTTTTTTTTTTTTTTTTTTTGTCTTTTTGAGACAGGGTCTCCCTGTAGCTCTAGCTGTCCTGGAACTCACTATGTAGACCAGTCTGGCCTTGAACTCACAGAGATCCACCTGCCTCTGCAAGTGCTGGGATGAAAGGCGTGTGCCACCACGCCTGGAGATTTCATCCTTTTTCATGCTCCTGGTTATATATATATATATAACCTAAGGGCCAGCCCTGGCATTCCTGAAGCTCTCCTTACATTCCTAGGCACTGGCCTGACCTCCAGCCTTACCCTGCTCTGCCTCACTTCTGTCTGGCTAAAGCAGTTTGAGCTGAGCCACTTTGAGATAAGAAACTCTCCAATTCCTGCTCTGGTCAGTGCCCTTTCCAGAATACTTCCAGCTACCTGCCTACCTTCTCCACTGGTTCTGGCAACCCAACACTGTAGACAGGTAATTATACATTCTTTCCCTTCAAAAGACCTTGTGCCTTCAACTGTGATTTAATGTCACAACCTCTTGAGGCATGGAAAGTCTCTGTAGAGTCCACAGATGGGGTGAGAAAGGCCCAGAAGAGCACCAGGAACATGGCCAAAGGTACATGGCTGAACTGGGGACTGAAGGACCCTTGGCTACCCCAGAATAAACAAAAACCTTGATCATGTTTTTCTGGTGTCTAACTTTAATCTTTCTTTCTATAAATGATACTGTCTTATGCATTTGTCCTCTCAGTAGTAGACACCTGGCGGGGGGAACCCTGGGGGACCCCTCCCTGCCATCCAGCCCCTAAGAATAGGGCACTCTTCCCCCAGTTTTATGCATTCTCAGAATGCCAGGCTCCTGCTTGATTGCAGTGTGCCCAGCAATCATAGAACTTAGGCAGCCTGGGTCCCAGGATGAAGGGAGTGGTTGTGCTGGCTTGGGTGGCATGAGTAGCCACCGTCTCACGCACACCCTGGAGACTGTAAGAGCAGTGTCCCAGGCAGCCAGGGCCTGTCCTCAGGAGCCAGCCTAGGCAGTGGGCAGATGGGGAGGGCCAGGTTATCTTTAAATGGCAGTTTACTCAGCCTGCAGCTCTGCCAGCTGGGCAGGGTG